ATTTCTCGTCATATGAAAAAAAATTTGTAAAATTTAATAAAACTATAGTTGAATAAATATTAAATTTAAAAGAATAATATTTATGTATTTTTGTATATATATTATATATATATATAATATATATATATAATATATCTAGCATCTAAGATTATAGAATGATATTTGAAAAAAAAGATAAAAAGAAATATAAAATCAGGCTTATATTTTATATATTCTATTTTATATTTAATTTTTTATAATATTCAGGATGCTGTAAAATAAATTCCTAAATAATATTATGTAAATTTTAGTCAAAAATTAAATGGAATTTAACCAACAGTTTAGGCTATTATTCATAAAGGATGATAGTTGAACTCTGTCCAATACTTAAACTAAATTGAAGTAGAATTGGTCTGTGAGAACGTTTATCATTATATATGTATATGTAACTTAATAGCTATTATCAACTAATACTTTGAAGTTACTTTCATTTCTTAAAATTTCACAAGCAATTTTTTTTAATAATAAAAATTATACAATCTTTAAACAAATTTAATTTATAATATATTTTACAATATTTATTATCAATATTAATATTTAATATCATTAGTACCTCATGTAAAATATTTTTTAATAATAGTTTATATATTTAACATTTTATTTATATTTTAGAATATTAAAATATAATAAAAACAACGAATTTTATACTATATAATACTAATTTTATACTATATACATACTATTATATATGTAAAAATAGATGTTTTTTATTTTTAATTATTAAAGATAAAAATGTTTGAAACTAAAAAAAATTATTTATTGTTAATTAAAAAAGATTAAATAATACATATAATAATATATAAATAATAATAACATATAAATAAAAATAATAAGGACAATTCAAGAAAATTATTGAGATTTTTAGACTTCACTTTATTAAATTGTGTTAAAAAATATTATAATCTAATAATAAATTATGAATTTATTAATTGAAAAATAATTTGAATTTAGCGCACTAGTTTTTATATTATCGAATCAGATTGGTTAAAAGTTTACTATGGCATAATGTAAAAATTTTTAAAAATTAATAATATTGTATACAAATAATTTTTTAATTCTGAAGTTACTAAATTCTGATAAAATTTGAAAAACACAAAAAAAATTATTATTAGATTATTATTAGACGAACTTTATATGATTATTATAGTTTTGCTATATAAATATCTTTCTAGTATTTTTACTAGGAGAAGTTTGTTAAAGTGTTACTAAAATATTAGTTTCATATTTATTTGATATTTGTAATTGAAAAAATATTGTTTCACTTCTATTAATTTTATAAACATTAATAATATGTTATTAAAATTTTGAAATATTATACATGTATTATATATGCACAAACATACATATATATTATAGATATATATATATATATACATATACACAATAATATAATACTTTTTTTCAGAATATCATTAAGAAAAGATTTTCATTATCAATTGTAAAATGTCAAAATATTTGGAAAGAATACAGGATATATTAAAAAATGCAGATAGTAAGAAGATCACAGATAAAAGAGTATGTATTTATTCAAATATATGTGTAATTTTTTGTATAATATATTATACATTATATAATTTTGCTTCTTTAAACCAATGAATTTTGTTTTGACATTTTGAAAAAAATTTCTATATAACTATATATCTATATTTTTATATTTATAACAAAAATAATATTAATTAACATTTATAAATATTATACATTAATAAAAACTAATATATTAGAGTTATTTAATAATCTGTTAATTATTAGTTATTTAATAATATTTTTCATAAAAAATATTTTATTTACATCATTCCTTGAAATATTAAATATAAATAATAATTTTTATTTTAGAAATGTGTTTTAGATCTATTAGATATATATGAAAATGAAGAAGCAATAATAGAAATCTGTAGAAATACAGAAAAAAAAACACAAAATATTATAAATTGGTCTTATATATTACATATAGTTCATAAAATATTATTAAATGTAAGTATATTTTTATTCTTAAAATAATTAAAATAAAATTTATTAAAATTAATGTTAAAAGAGTCAAAAAAATATAATTATATTTATTATTAAAGGAAACAGATAGACTTGCTTGTAAAGATATTAATAGTAAAACAGTAATTACTGAACGACAAAATACATGTATACTCGTACAAAAAACATTTCAATATGCAAATTGTCATAAAATACCACTTTTAAAATGCAATGATATAATGCCTTTAATTTTGCAAGTTTTAGGCACAGATATATATAAGTATTATTATGATACTTATATAAATGTATTAATTTCTTATATTCTTCCATTTAGAATATATCAAATAAATATGCTTCCTAAATACTGGGAAGAATTATTAAAAATATGTATAAATTTATATAATCATATGTCTTCTGTTATAAGTAAGAGAACTGTTTTAGATGCTTTACAAATGATTATTCAATATGGTTGTTTGCATACAAATTTAATTTTGAATATAAAAGAAGTATTATTGTTTTTAGGTATGTGAAATAACTTTTGAAATAAATTCTTTATTTCATAAAAATTCTATATTAAAAATAGAAACTTATTTATATATTTATATTTATAAATATGTTTATGAATCATTGCAATGAAATATATCTATTTTTGATTTTAGAAAATATTTTCTCTGATGTAAAAATAAATCAAGAAATTTTAGCTGAGTCTAGTTATAAACTTACAAATACAATATGTCAACAAATTGCAATAGAATATAGAATTACACTGTGTCATTTTAGTGAAAATATTTTATCAAATATAATCAGCTTAAAAGGTTCTATTGAAAAATATAAACTTTTATTACTTTTTATAAAAATTCATCATCCTAAAGGGGCATGTAAAACTGATGATGGTGCCTATGCTTATAATTGGGAAAAATGGTATACAGTACTTAAAAGTATGTATCTAATGATTTTGAAAGATTTTAAAGCAGATATACTTTCAAAAAGTTTTCTTCGTCTTGCAACTGAAGGTAATATTTATATTTTTTTTTTAAATTACAAAATAAAAATATTTTATTAATTATTAACTTTAAAAATATAATTTTTAGTTTTTAAACAAATATTAGAAAATCCAGATTTAATTATTGAAAAAAAATTTAATGAATATGATTATATACAACCAATAAAACGTAGACGAATTGTTGCTAAAATAAATGGACCAATTGACATGCTTATTAATAGTAGTCCAGAAGAAGCTTGGCCAATGATACAAGTTTTAACAATGTTATTTGAACAATATCCTAAATGCTTAAAATCAGAAGATTTTCCAATGTTCCTAAAAAATTTAGTAGATCTTTTTACATTATCTTGCAAAGAAGAAAATATTATGGACAATTTATATGAATTAGCTGCAGTTCTATTAATGAATGAACAAACATTTTCTATAACAGATGTAGAAAATTTAAATATTTATTGGGATAAAATATGGGATATTTTATTAAGGTATGATATTTAATATTCAGATTTTTTTATGATAAATTCATTAGAAATTTTTATAAATATTTATATTTTAATATGTAAATTTTTCTAGAATATTCATTTTATGTTTCTCAATATTAATTTATTATTTTAGATCTTTAAACATAAATCAGAATGAAATATCAACTCACAAACTTATGCAACTCTTTATAATACATAATAAGATAACAAATCCAAATATACTTTTAAAATTATATTTTACAAATGTGATTAAATGGTCAATTATGAGTTTGCATACATTAACAATAATTTGTGAACATTTTGCTTTATCTATTGATATTACAATGTTTAATATAAATATGTACTCACCAACAACAAATTCAAATTGTATTAGGTCATGTCTTATAAAATGGATATTAAATATTCCCTGGCATAAAATGGCAACACAAATAAAAATTGATGAATTATGTTTATTACTCATTAACATTACATTAAAAATAAAACCTGAAAAACAAATAAAATTCAAAAAATATAATATTAATAAGTCATGTGATTGTTTAAAAAATGAACAAAATACTGAATTATTTTATGAATATATTGAAGAATGTTATTTATTATTAACATATAAAAAAAATTTATTTACTGAGGAAAAAAGAAAAAATACTGAACAAAAACCAAAAAGAAATGAACATATATTATACATGCAAAATATTGTAAATTATTTAATGAATAGTTTATATGTTATTATCAATGAAAATGAAAGTGATGATCTTCATGTAATTATAATAAAAATTACAATTATAGCAAAAATTATATCAATAATGAGACAATTAAATATGATATCTAAAAACATTGAAGAATTATCTTTAATGCAAGCAATGAAAAATTATTTACATATTGTTTATGGTTTATTAGAAAATATAGATCCATCAAGAAGTAAATATATTTATCTTTATAATGTAACAAAAGCACTTAATACATTATATGAAACATCATATGATATTGATGTGGCAAAAATAATTGTTACATCTGCAACATTAGATATGTTAAAAAATATATTTAGTTTAATGAATATTGAAGATCATGAACTTATTGATTATAAAACAAATAATGATTATTATAATGATTATGAATCTCTACAAAATAGACGTAAATATCTAGATAGAGATATTATACAAAAAAGACAATGTAATTTTTGTAATGAAGGTACAATTAGAATACAAGCAACAAAAGCTTTAACTTTATTTTGCTGTATAAATACAGGACAAGAAAAATGTGAAATTCAAATAAAACTTATGAATAATTTACTTAATATTAACATGTATGATCTTTCACATACAGTTGATTTTATAATGGCTATAACAGTTTTAAAATCTTCAGCAAAATATGGTAAAGAAGAATTATGGAAAAATCACAATGAACTACCATTGAAAAATTTATTGAAATTATATAACGAATGTTATAAAGATGAAATGGTTATCCGTTATATATTTGATATTCTACCATATTTTTTTAGTTATGCTTTAAGTCACAATTATAAAATAGATAATTTAATGGATATTATTATGCATTTTAATAAACTTCAATCGGAAAAAAAATATGGTTTTATTGCTCATAAAGATTTTATTAAATGCCTCACAGAAATTATTTATATTAATCCTTCACATTTTTATTATATTACACACAATGCTTCGAATCAAATGCCAATAATTGAAGGAATTTTAATATCTCTTAATAGTTCTTCATTTCTTGTACGATTACAAATAATTAAATGTATACAAAATATATATTCGATAAAAACTATACCTTTTAAATGGAAAGAAATGTTATTTAAACAAATAGAAGAATCAATAAATAAGTTAATTATTAACAATGAATCAGATGATAAAGTGAAAACAGATAAAAAAGAAATTATAACAAGAAGTACTTTATTAATGCTTGGTGCTATAATATCTGCCAGTGGAACATTTCAATGTCATGCTTTATTAACAATGTTACGCTTTAGTATTGACAAAAAAGTAAATAATCAAATAATTTCAAAACCAATAAATATTATGGCAAATCAAATCGATTATTCAAACATCATTGAAGACAATTTAAGTTATTTAATGACATATTGGTTTAATTCAAAATATTCATCACAATTATTTCCTTGGAATTTAATAATAAATTCCAGTAAATCAGAAGAAGAATTTTATAAAATATATAGTGATACATTAACATTTATTAAATTTCAAAGTTTAGAACTTTCTAGTACTATTTCTTTTTGCAATTCCATTAAATTATCATTTGAACAAATCAGTGAGAATATTTTTCCACAAATTTTATCATGGTTATTGTATTGTATTAATGGAAATAATGGAAATATTTCAAAACAATTAGCATGCAAAATATTTCATAAATTAGTATCAAATCGAGATGAATTTGTCAAAATAAAAAAATTTTCTAATTTATTTAAAGATAAATTTGAAGAAATATTAATATTTCTTATTGAAAGATTACATGATGAAGATTATCTTGAAGAAATATTAGAAGAGAGAATATCATTTCCTATATCAGATCCACCTCATTTTAAAAAAGATATAATAATTGATTGCTTAAAGTATATGGAAGAAAACTTTTTTACTGAAAAAATGTCTATACAATATGTTTTAGTTTGTAATTGTCCAAATATATTGCAAAAGATATTATTACATTTAACTCATAATATTTATAAAAAAAAATTTGAGGAATATAAAATAAAAGCTTTTCATCAGTATATTTTTTTTTGTACATTACTTATTAAAGAACTGAAAAATGATTATTTTAATACATTATCCATGTATGTTATAAAAGATATTAGTTATACTTTACTTCATATAATTAAAATATATGATGATATTCTTCGTAAATTGGCATGTAAATATTTTTATAAATTTATAAAACATGTTTTAAATATAAGATGTGAACAAATCAAAGAAATTTTGAACTTCACTGTTATAACTTTAATTCCTATAATACAAACGGAAAACATACCTATAAGTTTAGAAATATTACAGTTCTTAATAATTGATCAAAAAGAAATATTATATGATGCAATAGAGAAGTTAAATTTATTTCCAAAAGATCCCATTTTTTTAGATATACGAAATATACATTATAATTTGAAATATAAAGCAAAAAAAATTTGTAGTTTGGAAGAAGAAGTGCAACATTTTTTGAATACAACATCTGATGAATGTATACATTATAGTGTAGAAGATGTTGCTCATTTACACATACAATTATCTACAAGAAAAGAAGAATTACGAGAATTATATGATAAACTTGAAATATTTCATGGATTTTTTAGTAATTGTACCTCAAGCATATTGTATCAATTGGTGTATAAACTTATAAAATTAACAGCATCTTCTGATATAAATGTTTCACTCGAAGCCGTAAAATGTTTAGGTGATTTAGGTCCAATTGATTTGACATCAATGATATATTTTGAAAAAAATCATGTTAGAGAATCTTCTGATTTAATAGAAATATTATCATATAAAATAGCAATAACAATGATACAATTCTTATTTCAAAATAATATTGAAATTCGGAAAAAAAGTGCTAATGTTCTTTATGTTGTATTTTCATCTTCTTGGGGACAAAAACTATTGAACATAAAATATATGGAATATTTAAAGACTATTTTAGATGAACCACAAGTATTACCCATTAATTATATTCAGCCATTTATAAGTAATAAAAATTCAAAAATTAATAACATTGAAATAAATTATATAAAAATGAATAATATTATAAATCAAAATAATACTATTTGGACAGTTCAATCTGATGGTTCATATTCCAGTTGGATTGTAGCATTAACATGTAATATTTTAGAATGTTTTATAGGATTTTATTCTGAAAATTTAATCCCCATTTGTACTTTAAGTACTGATTTTTGTGAAATAATTTTACCGAGAATTATATTTTTAATAATTCATACAGATGAACAGTTTATAACTACATTATGTTTATGTATTAATAAATTTTTTGAATATCATTTTAATTTTACAATAGAAACAAATAATACAAAATTTATAAATTGTGATCATTGTACTGTACGTTGTATGTTAAATATTGTGAATTATATTAGAATGCAAATTTCAAACAATATTTTAAAATTAAATTATATATATATTGCAAAAGCTGCCAAATATTGTTCAGCATTTTTTACTGCAATATTATATGCAGAAATGTCTTGTGAAACTATTTTAAATGATTATAGTAAATTTAATACTGCTTCAAAAATTGATTTTGTTTATGAATTGTCACCTGAACAAGGAAGAGTAATACAAAACATACTTAGAGAATCTTATGCAAAAATAGGTGATTTTGATGCCATTAATGGTACTGGTTCCTCACATTTATTAGATTATTCTTCTCGTATTGAACATTATATTCATACAAATGAATGGAATAAAGTAATGCTTGCACAAGATGTTGAACTTTCTTTTGGAAATATGGCAGTAATCAAAGGTAAATGATAAAATTATATGTTGATTTGATATGGAAATGTACATCAATAATGTTATAATTATTATAATAATTTTAGTAAAACAATATTAACACATTATCATAAGATATTATCATA